CTTGTAAGTCCAGCCAAGGCGGCTCGCTGTTTATTTAACATGTCGACACAGAAAGCTCTAAAATGAAAATCAATGGTAAAAAAGAGCAAAAGCTGGATTTTTTTTATTTCATGTCCAGTTGTTTTTCATTTAAGTTAAATTCAAGTCTTCCAGTTGATGCAGTCGCTTCTGTTTCAGCCATTTTGTGTATAAGTTCAAATGAAATTAATGTGAATTTAATGTTTGAGTTAAAGTAACTGAAGTTTGAAGGTTTTGGCTCGTTGGGTGGCTTATGAATGATTAATGTTTTTCTATTTCTAATTGAACTAAAGGATGTTATTGGTTGTGTAAATAGATTGTATTTAAAGGTGTATCTCTAACAGTTTTCTTTAGATCATCCTCTTTCTGTCGTTGTGCTTCCTTTTTCTTCACTGTTTCCTAACATCACTGACGCACTTTATCACCGTAGGTTAGACTCTGGGATCAGGTTGGGGCAGATGGGCTCATTATATAATGCAATTAGCCAATGCAATAAATTATGTGTGAGATTTTATAAAGCTAACATCCCACATGTAGAAAATTGTATTATTATATTCAAATAATATAGCAGTATTTTTATCCATGCATCTATCAGTGTCAGTTTTGTGCTTACTTTAGTCCCACTGACCTCACATTCAGATAACCGTTCAGCGTTTGAATAAATTCTGACCAACTGCTTCCATTTTATGTTTAAATTCAACAAAACAAGGCTTTTCTTGATCAATAGACTTAAGCCCCATTTATACTTCCCTTTTAAACCGTGCAGAGATGTGTCTGAGCACGGTAACCAAGATAACTGTTGAGAGTAAACGGCATGAACAACTGAACGGGAGCGTGCCAGACACAACAGAACCACGCTAACACGGTACTAGTTCATCAGTAGGGCTCGGCGCGGTTCAGTTCTGGCTCCGTTCTGTGATAACAAAGAACACCTGAGCAGAAGGCGTCATCTCATTATAGTCAGCCTCCGTGATCCTGAAACTTCGGACATTCATAAAAATACTAGCTTCCCTATCGTGCCACAAGATTTCCATTGGTGATTCTACTTGGCAGTGTGATAAACTTCAACATCTTTCGTTGTTTCCTGCTTCGTTTGTCGTATCCAGTTCCCAAAAGCCGACTCTGTCAAGTAAATTCCCCAAAGGCTGCCTTTTTCACACGACTTTCCGCAAACAACGAAATATCACAATGATAACACAACAGAACTTCCTAAATGTTACGGGCGCCGCCATGTTGGTTTGCTTGTTTACCTCTAGAGAGCAGTAGTCCCACAGATCGCCACTAGGAGGTGAGGAACCGTGCTAGCGTGGTGTGTAAACGGTCGTAAAGAACTGAGCTCGGAATGATTAACTGATACAAGCTCGGAACCAATTGGCTTGTAGTGCAAATGGGGCTATAGACTATTCAAAATAAAAATTTGTTGTCTGGTTCTTAATTAAAATCTAGGAGAAACCTTGGAGAGCGGTTTGCTAAAGTACTGAGCTAATGCTAGCATGTTTTCACTATTGTCGTTTGACTTGTTGATGGCTCCATTCATAGCATGTTTAGTGGTGAAGGATAACAAAATCTTCCAAATAGGTCGTTATTCTGCTATGTGTTTGGAGCTTTTAGTAATAAACAGATCGCACATCTCGGCCCACGCACCGCATCTCTCGGCGCTCAGTCCAACGTGTGGTTTTTGGACGAGCAGTTGGAGCAGATAGATCGCATAAGAGCGTGGGTTCGCACAGTGTGAGAACAAATATCGCGAGCATCGCAAACTTTTAAATTCTGTGGTTTCGTCGTACAGTTGGAGCTGTAGCTGCGTGCAGCGATGGAAAATATCGCACAGTCTACGCTCGGTTTAAGAGAAAGAGAGAGATGATGTCAATGCAAACAGCCAGTCCTATTGACTGATATTTAATGTTGAAATTAATAATATGAAAAGAATTCCTAAAAAGCGATCTCTGGATTTGCAGCCATGTATGCAGGAAAACGGCACATCAACCATATTGCAATTCAGGATAGGTTCACGAATTAGAAAAAAAAACAACATATATTTTTGCAAGAAACCTGCGATTTTAGTCCGTTCTTTATGTCTCCTGGATCTTTCTTTTCTGTGTTAAAAATTTTGTAGACTGAACGGTGGTTTACGGCCATATTTCCTCTTCTTTTCCCCATCTTTGGGTGGACCTGTAGTTGCGTGTTTTCTGACACCTTTCAAGCAGCTCAAAGCACACCTGTCATTCTTGCATACATCACTTAAGGCTTAAAGCCTATAAGTTAGTTAAGTTAGCTTACTTCTTTAATGGCGCCATTTTTTTCCTTGGTAGCTGAATGTTTTTAGCCTCGTGAGACCATCCTGATCTCGCGAGCTTTCAAGGTTTCACTCGCAGATCAGTCTGGAGACTCTCCGTTAAAGAAAATTTGGAGCCGTTCACCAAACGAACGTCCAATCAGCGTTGGCTTTGAGGCGGGTTGAGGTGTGACGCAACGAGAAGCGCGACAGTTCAGTCTAAAGAACATGGCGGCTTCAGCCGATGAAACTAGCATCAGCGCGGCTATCGGAATTACAGAGTATTTCTTCACTGAAGGAAGAGCAAAACACTGCTCTGGAGGCTTTTCTCAGAGGAAAAGATGTTTTTGCTCTTCTCCCGACTGGTTTCGACAAGAGTTTGATCTATCAATTGGCTGCTCTTCGTCGTCGCTCTGTTAGTACGTCATATGCTTCGTTGATCTGATTGGTTTATTTGGCCCGTCTATCACCAACATAGGCCAATCAGCTAACCAGTATTTTCGCCCCTTCCCAAAATTACTTCAACGGAAGGTTTCCAGATGGATATGCGGAGCAAATCCATCTGGCGGAGTCAGGTTAGAATGTTTTGACCTCGGCTGGATGTTCAGAAGCGTTGACACTTTGCTTGTACACGACCTTGTGTGTTATCTGAGCTCCAGCTGTCTTATTAACTATCTGGTCAGAGCAGCAGTTGGTGTTGCTCGGATTCCACAGACAAGGAA